AATGTCACTAGCGAGCATGCCGTCAACGATCTCAAGTAGCTTCGGTTTTATTGGATTGAATCGTGTGAAGTCGTGCGTTTGCAGCCTATCGCGCATTTTATTCACATCCGGGAAATCTCCTGGTGATATGTTGTGCTCCCGCTAAAATGTATAAGTTCAAATTGTGGTAAGGTTCCAGAATCCAGAAAAAATAACATAAACATACGTGTCACCTTGAAACATGAAAAAAATATAGCAACAATTCGCAACAGTAACACACCTGAAGCTGTTCAAATATCTTGTCTAGATTCTGAATGAGCTCCTTCTTCTTCTTTTCCTTGCCAATCATAGTTGGCATTTGCTTACGTAATTCAGAGATTATGTAAGCGTGAACCTTCAAACGAGAAATTTTCCATGATGGAAAAAAAATCACGGAAGAGAAGACCAAAACTCAGGGGAAATGGCTGGACCTTAAGCTAGCGTGCTCTGGTGATGAGGGTCATTGAGTTTGCGAAGTGCTGCATTACGAGGAAGCGCTTGCAGATCTTGGAACAAGTCATGTTGTTCATCTTGGAATAGACGTCTGCAAAACCAATAGTTTAAAAACATGAAAAAACGAAAAAAATGCTTACGCGTTCAACAAAAGGCAAAGCAGAAAGAAGAAAAGATGAATTCCAGGCAGAAGGGACGGTTAGCGCCTAATATTATTTTTCTGTGCGATTTATTTATTTATTTATTTGCATGTACAAAAGTACATGGAAAAACACAACAAAACTGTGCCAAGACGTAACAACACAACTGGAAAAATAAACATCATAAGAAAATGAAGTAGAACAACAAAATTTTACTAGTGAATATGATTGTCCATCCTCTAAAAATCAGATTTGAAAATGAAAAATTTGAAGCCCTTAAGTATAGAAATTTTGTAATATTTTTTTTAAGTGCGATAAACTGCTGGGCATGGCGAATTTTTTGGTGAGCTTACCAAATTCACTAGAAGCGCGAAGAGAAAAAAAATTTGCTCTGGTGTTGGATCTAGCAAATGGACGAACTAATTTGAACTTTTCTCCTAATGCGGTCAAAGCGATTCCCGCAACTCCCTAACGATTGCTCGCAAAGTCTGACATCTGTCTTACAGAATAATGGTATAAATTTAGTACGATGGAGTAAAAGACAGAGGGCAACCGTAACAAAGCTGACCTGTTTATATCGTAGTGAAGGGGATGATCCCAGAACGTTCCAATGTAAACACGAGATACTTCGGGGGTTTTGAATACCTTAATTGTAGGGAAAATGTTTTAGCTAATCTCGTCTAGTTACCAACAAATTATGAAACTGACCTTTCCAAGGGACCACATCAAAGCTCCATAAACACGCATCAACTGCTGATGATCTACCATGTCGGACTTGTTCAAGACAATACGAATTTTGTCCTCATTTCCTACAATGAAAATTAGAGGGCTAACGGAACTATCAATTTTCCATTCAGTTCCAACTCCTGGCATAGGTCAACGATCTGGCTACAAGCTTGCATAACGGTTTACGAGTTACTTGAACTTTCTTCTATGGTTGTGCCACGAATGGTGAGGACACAGACCTGGGAGCCCAAGGACACAGACTTTAAGGAGGGAGGAACTTCGAGGTGGAGTGACCGACTGACATTACGTGCTGGTAAATATTTGAATGTGTGACGGTCACCAGTGGTCATGATTGGGCGCCGTAAGAGCAAGGGAGAAGAGAATGAGAAGATCGAATTAGGGCGGCTTAAAAGACAGAGTTCGAGTAGTCCGTCAGCCCTGTATATCGCAGCTAAATGAAGATGACCGAACCAAGCGCAAATACTGAGACCTACCACTGAGCGCCTCAATGCATCGTTTGAATTCTACCGAGATATCGACTTGGCACTCGACAACAGGATGATACTGATCTACACGCGGTTCGGCGATTACCATTCCAGAACTCGGGTAAATGTCGGTAGCCGCGGCAAGTCAATTCTTGCAATGAACTAATTCTTGGGCGGACAATGAGTATTTCCCCAAATCAAGCATATCACAGCGACTAGCCAGGCGTCAAAGCGTCGGTTGAATTCTTCGGGCTTGTAGGCCTTGGAAGCGCTCTTTTGGACTCGCAATGACGTCAAGCAAAGGAAACCAGCTATGAAATAGTAATATTCACAGATCAATCTTTTTTTCAATTCTGGAAACTTCAGAATCTATCATAGGTCGCGACCTAATTGTTTGCGTTAGTTACACATTACGCTTGACCCTGGAATAGACAGACTTCAACTATTGTACATGCACAGAGGTGCGAGCTTTAACAAACAGCTCACAATTCAATGCAGGTTAGATGACAGTACTTAAGACAATGTATGGAGCGAAAAACGGGAAACTACAAAAAAAGACCAACAATGAATAAAAGATCTATTTAGTTAGCAACGAAGCAGTGCTAACAAACTCTAACACACGGCACGTTACCCGCGTATATACCGCCGATCGTATGTCGACTTGGCTGACTGCGGACTTGAAAACCAAACATGGAATTCATTTCGAAATGGAATGCTTGCAGTGAGCTCAAACTAGGAACCAGTGCACACAATGAGCGGAAGAGGACAGTCATGCAGTGCACAAGAAGCCCAAAATAAGAACAGCAATTAAACAAAGGGACTGATCTCCAAAAGCTAGGAATTATAATCTCGGCATTCGCGAGTGCAAGAAAACCTCATTGCATACAACTGATTCCAACCAAATATTTTAAAAAATAATCGAGAGTTGCAAACCATTCAAGAACTCGGCCTTACCTTTGCTTTTCTCCAGAGAGAATACCAGGTGTGTCGACGATAGTCACACTTTCAAGCACTTGGTTATTTAGCGTAGAACACTGGAAGCGATTCAAGAAAGCGTTGCCAAATCTGAAATATGGATTTAGTAAATAAACGAATACAGTTGAAGGATCTAAAAAAAACAAGTCAGCAAATAACTAGTCTAACACAAGGAAAATAAAGAAAAGTAGAGCACCCAATATAGGGAGAATTTCTGAGGGCGAGTGCACGATAAGTGGCCATAATAAATGGGAAATCGATTATTTTATAAAAATCAGGGAAGGGGACGTGACACAGAAGTGAATATTTCGGATTGATGTGAAGAAAAGGCCCTTTTCTCATTGAACATGCACATCCAAATACTTGCAGATATCCTACGGTGTCGGAGAAAAACGTTTGAGAGAAAAAAGCCCTAAACCGTGCCCATTCCAATTCAACAGTGAACCATCTCAAAACTACTGCCGCATCAACCTGATATTATGACGAGGATGAACCAGGTCCATTTTCAAGATGCGACATAAATCGATTCGGTCTGTGCGACGTCTGGTGGGGCCTGCAGATATGCAAGTGTTTTAAGGCTGTCGATCTCGTACCAAACAACCGACCCCGAGAGTTTGCTTTCCGAAAGTCTATCCGCGCTAAACCTCGCACCATAGGTATGGTGACGCCCATGCTCGCAGACCACCTACCTATTTAGCACATTGACGACAACGTGCCCGGCATGCGTATCAGATTCTCATACGCACGAGACACATTTGGTTCGATTCATATGTTATTTTTAATATTCCAAAACTGTCCCTCCACATTGGCAGATCCACAAAACAGTATTTTCGTTACCAATAAAGGAGTAAATGAAAGGAGAACGATGGTTTTACAAAAAAAAAAAAAGATGTCGAACAGACACCAACGAGCTTTCTTCAATCTGCTAAAGTATAGCACGGGCTGAATATAGAGTAATAAAGAATTCCCTCGCAAAGTCGAAAAAAGTCTGGCTCAACAGTCTTAAGAAGGCCTGTGTTCGCCTTCGGTAGCGGTGAAACCACAAAACAGATCGCTTCTAGCAAATGCGTTATATCCATCATCCTCAAGCCTTTTTCAAAGTCTATGTTATCCAAATTTGTTCCCAATCCATTAGTGAAAGGGAAACCCAGCAAAATATTGTGAAACAGCCTAGCGCTGCGCTGGTAGTGAGCGATGTTACCGTACTGTCGATCGCTTCGCGGTACTGTTGTCTCGCACCAGCGTAAAAAGTTGCACAATAAGAATGGCACTGCAGCTCACAGCATTTCGCCTCGAGTTCTCAAAGAATCTCAGTGAAGTGTTAGGTTTCCACTCGCCTCCCTTGGTCACAAAGAATATCCTAGTTGAGCTTTGTATTTTACTGACCACATTTCCTTCCGGAAAACCTCCCCTTTTCTAAGATCTCCAAGATGACGCTCTCTACAGACTTGGTTCACAATAAACCCGAATAAAAAAATAAAAGGAAAAAGAAGGGAGCCGCAAGATCATGACCCCCAAAATCCAGGATGACAAAAAAAAACATAAAAGTAAAAGCAGGGAGAGAAAGTAAAGAAAACAACGGGCGTGTACGCTCCACTTTACGAACTCCAGGAACACTATCCAGAGAAAAATTATTCAAATCATATATGAACACGAGCTATCGAAATAATTCGGTGATAATGGGAAATGAAAGAATCAGACCTACCCGCTCAAAGCTCTGAATTGTTTCTTTGCGTCTACTACTAACGCATTGCCAGGAATGACTCCTTCTTCGTCTCCATGCATCACAGCAATGAACCTATCAGTAGTGGGCTCAGGACCGATACGAATACCAGGAAAATCCTAAACAATATAATCACAGCAAAATAAAGATAAAAACGAAATAAAGCACAAGTACCTCTTCAAGAAGGTATCTGATGAATGTCGTTTTACCAGTCGAATACTGTCCTACCAAAAGAATCATCGGCTTCGCATCGAAATCGGGATCATCTGAATTGGTTTCTGTGAAACTTAGAGAACCTACCTACGTAATGGTTAAATGAGCGCTCAAACTGACCGAGAGCAGGCGAGTGGAACTCATGGAATTTGTAGTGCTCCTCCAATGGATATAGTTTCTGCTTGTAAATTTTCCGTAGTCCTTCACTTACTGAGTCCAAAACCTAGAAAAAGTGAGTCCATTGAAAACTTAAAGCTGCTGCATTTCTCTGATTCAAGGATTTCACAAATGAAACTGTGTAAAGGGGAATTCGAAAACTGTAACCCACCTCCTTGTTCTTCTTTTTCGAAGAATCACCACCGAGCCAGCTAAACATGCTCCTTGGTTTTTTCTTCTTGGTGACCTCTTCTGAAACGAAACAGATGTGGTGTAAACTACTGAAAACAAGCCAGACGAGCCATCACTTATCATAACCTCATGGAAACTGACTACTATTATTCACATTACAAATATCAAAATCACGTCTTGCTTTAAACGAGAAAGAGGCTTGTGTGCTTCTTCTAATTACAAAAAAGTTCAATAAT